ACAAGGAAGGTCTGAGGAAGGATGAGAGCTGTGTGAGGGTTTGCTGTCAGGGGCAGGGAGTGCAGTGCCAACACTGTGGTTCCTGCTGAGGACTGCGGTGGAGGAGTGAGTGAGGCTGATAGAGATGATGATGCATAGGGGTGATGGGGGAGTGTGTGGCTGGTTGTTCACGGAGAGGCAGGTAGGGAAACTCAGGGAAGGAAATGAATGCTAAAGGAGAAGGAGGAAAAGGAGTCATGGACTGGAGTGCCCAGGAGAAGCACTGTCAGCCCAGGAGCAGGTCAGAGTGGGGTGGGCACCTCTGTATGGATATGGGGTGACCTGTGTGGGAACAAGAATGAGGGCAGAAGACAAAAGCATGCATGGACAGGAACATAGTATAGAATGAAAGACCCAGTTTTCCTCGGCATGTTTTCAGAAGAATGTGAAAGGCAATGTGATATGTGTCACCTTGTGCCACAGATGTAGGATGCTGAGAGGATACCATAGTTCAGGCCATGAAGAGGCAAACTTTGAGTGCCTAGGTATGGGAGTATAATGGTACAGTAGGACTCTAGCTTAGTGAATGCAATCCAACACTGGGCACCAAGGGTAGCTCAGGAAGGGAGGACTCATGAAAATGTCTACTACATCAGCTAGAGGATTCCTAACAGCAGCACAAAGCATAGTGGCAAGATAGTTCTTAATTATGCACGAAAGAGAAAAGCAGGAGAAATGGTTACTCAGGGCCCAGAAGTAAGAGGTTAGAGGTTTTCAACCCAAGGGAGACCTGTGATAGCTAAGATGTTATTTGGCAAGAATGAGAAAGAACAAAATGAAGGAGCCCAGCAGGAAGGAAAGAAAAGGCATGTTGAGAGGGTTACAGAGGGCATTACATCTAGGAAGACATGGCCAAGACCATGGGCATGGGAATGGATAGGGAACATGCAGAAACTCTGTCTTAATGCAGGCAGAGTGCATAAGGAAGCCCAGGGAAGATAAAGACCATGGAAGAGAAGTGTGCAGCAGAGAAGCAGATGAGGCCAGAGCAGAAAGAGGGAGGAGTGGTCATGGTACTTTATCCCTGATGTGCAGAAGTGAGGAAAGGTGGAGGGAAAGGATCCAGGTATGTCACTGCCTTTAATAAATAGAGAGAACTTTAGAGGTGAATTTGGACAGCTGATGGATTCAGTCCTGCTGGCTAGGGACACAGAGGCTGACAATAGTGGCAACAGTGAGGACAGGTCAACAGCTGAGCAGATAGCAAGGGAAAAGAGTCCTGAGTCCATGGGTTGGCGGGGAGGTGGCAGAAGAAGTAAGGCTGGATGCTGATGGGGAAGTGGGGGGTTTCTGGAAAACGATAGTAGAGAGAGGCATAGGGGAACACCATGTAAGATTTAAATTCATGTTCAGGGCAGAAAGAGAGACTGCAGTTGGCTGCCATGGGAAAGTGCCCAGTGGGAGTCAAGTCAAGGAGCTGATAGGAAAAGAGAAGAGAAGTCAATCCAGGAGAAAATGGAAAGATCTTGTGTGGTGGTTTTGGCTAAAGCAAATGAGCCACTGTACAAAAGGGGAAGTCTGGATGTAAAGCTCTCCAAATGGGGGCACTGGCAAACTCAGGGCTCAGTCTGGTAGGATGGAGAATCAGTGTCAAGTCTTAGGAGAAGAGAAGTGAAACAAACTCCAAGGGTTTGCAGAATGGGGCCCTTAGGAAAAGGTAAAGGAAAGGGTCAAAGCGACTTGGCTTAATTAGAGGGAACCAAATGACATGCACTTTATGACAGTTCCTGGACAGATGGCACTGGAAGACAACCTCAGGGACATGGGAATGGACTCAAGTGGAAAGAATTGAGCATGTGGGTAGATAGAGGATACATGTCAATGGTGGAGGCACAGCTGGGCACCAATGCGGAACAGCCACTCCGCAGTGACCACTAAATCTGCGTGTGCTTCCACCGTTCAAGACTGGCTGCAGGAGAGGTGTGCTGTGTAACAGAGACTGCAGGGACAAGGGGTTAGTGGGGCCTTGATGCAGGGGGTCTTGTAGGTTTAGTTTTAGAAGGCAAAGAAAGTAGGTAACAATATTTTTACAGGATGCAGCAAGGCCCTAGGGGTTTGAGGCTTAGGAGTTCAGGGGCTGGGTTTTTGTTATTTGTTTTATTTTTTATCAAGAGATAAAGAAGAGAAACAGGATGAAGACTGGTATGTGTATAAACAATGTGTATAAACAGTAGGACTTCAAAACTGAGTGAGTGTTAGTCTTATAATGTAGTGGGCCCAAAGGAGAAAAAGAAAACAAGAGTGACTTAGACTATAGGACTGATAGTGAGAAGGCAACTGTCACAGATGGTGGTGCAGTCCCACTTGTTGGGAAAGGATCCTGGTACATTAGAAACAACAGAGGAAGGGAAGCTTCAAAGGAAGCAGTGTGCAGACTTTTGAGGAACCCAGTGGCTCTAATGGAAAGACAGCTCCCCACCCCAATCCAAATCATTGCAGTGATAAAGCAAAGGCAGCCTAAGTGTGTCTTGAAGCCAGAATTAATGGACTATCCAGATGAGTGACAGCTGTTGGCTGCAGAAAAGAAGGTAATAGGGAGAGGATGGAAAGAGGCTGAGAAGGGTCCAGGAAGACTCCAATGGAGAACAGAGCAGGGGAGGGGATGAGGCGGCAGACACTAGGTAGCTGAGAGAAGTACAAGCCCCAGAGAAGTGGGAGGATGAATTCTGTAATGCAGGTGGTAAAAGAGGAACAGGTAAGAAAGAGAAAGATGGTTGGGCGGTGGTGGCATACACCTTTAATCCCAGCACTCAGGAGGCAGAGCCAGGCAGATCTCTGTGAGTTCGAGGCCAGCCTGGTCTACAGAGTTCCAGGACAGGCACCAATACTACACGGAGAAATCCTGTCTTGGAGAGAGAGGGAGGGAGAGAGAGAGAGAGAGAGAGAGAGAGAGAGAGAGAGAGAGAGA